TCCATTAGTTATTGGGAATTTTGTCTCTTTTAGTTATTCCAAGCATGGCTCTCTCCATGGCTCTCTGGGCTACTCTTAAATTTTCTGCTGACTTTTTCGTTAATGTTAGAGTTTCCACTCCATATGTAATTACCGGCAAGACGCATTGTTCATAAACTTTCCTCTTTAAGCATTGAAATAAAACAAAATAATTTTATTAAACAGTATATTTTAAGAAAATATCTAAAAATACATCAACCAATATTGAATTAGTTCTAGACTAATTAACAATGTTCTTACAAAAAAAAAATAGGAAATATATACAATAATTAGTAAAGTTCTCTATACTTTTTTTCTTTCAAAAACCATAAATAGACAATTTAAAATTTAATGGAATTTATGAAATGTGAAACATAAAACAATTATAAAATTACAATAAAAATAATAAACGGTGATAAAACTCAACTTCGTTGGTATTAGGAAGCACTAAAAATTCTGAGAAAGAGAAATAAATATATAAAATTTTTAACAGTAGGTAAGGGTAAGTAATTATTTTTTGCGATTTAATACTAAATTATAAAAATGCCCATTGGATGAATGATATGAGTGAAATATTCAACAATTTCTAACAGCACTTGTTATGTCTTAAATACATTCAAATTAGAACAAGGATTTTTAGAAGTTTTCACAATATGAAAAAATAAGCTTTAACATTTACATTCAAAAATTATTTTTGTTCAATTTGACATGTACCTTTTACTTTTGGAATGATTCTAATCTTAAAAAGGACTAGTTTTTATTAAGTTTCGAGACTACTAATGCTATAAAAATAAAAGTGTTAAAATAGTGTCTTTAATATAATCGAAAACAATAATAAGTGTTCAGAAAAAATGGCATTAATAAAATACTAAGTTTTAAATTAAATTAACAACTCATAAATAATTAAAATATTAGTTGTACTGAATAAAAAATTAATATTTTCAGTATTATACTTGACGAGATTACTCAATAATTTATATTCTGAACACTTATACTTAATAATATCATTTTAATAATCTACAAGTGCTTCTCCTAATTTAAATCAAAAGACACCAAAGAATCTCTAAGCTCTAACAAACAAAATAAGACAATTTATAATTTATTATAAAATAAAAATAATGAAAACAATGAATTTCGTCTTAAACTCTAAATTTAACAACAACTATTTAAAGTACCAAGTATATAATTAATAAATCAAAATATCACAAAAATAGTCTTGTCTTTTTATTATATAATAAAACTAAACCTCATTTAAGCCAAGTTACTTAAACTCTGACTATAAAACCTTTCATTATTGCTAATATAATTAATTTATTGGTCAAGTAACTCAGCCCAAATATAAATAAAACAATGAACAAGACCATTTTTGGTAAAACACCATATCACCTTACAAAATAACAACAAAATAATTGAGCAAATAATGTCATATTGCCGCCAGATGATTAGTTAAATTCCAGGTAGTGACTCCATCTTAAACCTAAACCCTTTTGTTATGTAGGATTCCATATTAGTGCGTACCTAACATTATTTGTATAATAAAATAAGTAACCAGTTTTAGTACTCATAGACTAGAATTGAAGATTCATTCCACATCAATCTGCTTTGGTTTTCTATAACATCTCCTGTTGTTATTTAATGTTTTCTTTATATTATTTTTATTAAAAAATATATTTAGCAGTTAACATGTCTTTTAAAACAATCATAGATTTATCCATATAAAATAGATATCATTCTCAAAACTTACTACCTAACAATTTTATGCTGTTTTTGAACCATGCCATCAATATAAAGATCAGAAGAATTTTTATTGAATGATTTTAACTAAAAAGTATGTCCCCGGAAAACTTTTTTATTATTGACATTTTGAGAAAAATGGATCTTCATAAAAAAAGTTTCCTTATTGTAAAATGGTTAATCCCGGTTATACTTTTCCAAATTTCTATACCGTTTCAGAGAAAATTAAGAAAACAATGAAAATACTAGTTTTTAGTCCTAAAAATCAATAGGCGTCTCTATAGCAATAGCATTTCGAATTCTTCTTTTGATAGATGGTTATTATTAATTTTGATTAGTATAAACGGGATTAACCGTTTTAGAACAAGCAAAAATTTTTATGAAGAGTACGTTTTTTTCAAAATATAATAAACAAGTTTTTTTTCCTCTTGCAAAGACAATCCGGGGACATACTGTAGAAAATCCCAATGTTAATCTTCAAAATGAAATTAAATAAAATTGTACAGTAATTTAATAAAAAATTAAAGATAATAAAAAAATATAAAAGCAGAATGTAGATATTATAATATATTTGGTTTATTTTTTCATAGTTTTATATAAGATATATGAAAACAAAACATATATTAAGATAAAGTCTTTTTAGGTATATCCATAATTTGAAAATGACTACCATAACTTATAAATGCAATATTCCATTTTTTTTTCTAAAAAAATAATGGCAATCTTTATTTTTATGTAAATTTATGTACATTTATATAATTTCGCATAATAATTTAACAATGATATTTGTAAAATTCTGGAAATTAATTTCTTGGTTTTCTTGATTTTTTTTCTGCTTCATAAATCAGTATTAAAAAAAATTGAAAAATATGGCACATATTTAGAATGATTTTCATTTTTTGTTAAAAAGCGCCTTCGCCATTATGTCAAGTCCAATTTATAAGAAATTACTAAACAATTCAAAACAAATAGTGTATGATATCAATACCTATGTATGTATGAATATACACATTTTCCATTTTCTTGGGATTTAGGTTCGGAAAAACTCTAATTAAGTTTATCAATATCTTTATTTCATTAAATGAAATAAATGAAAAAAACCTAATGAAAACTTAATTAGAGTTTTCCGGAACCTAAATCCCAAGAAAATAAAAAATCAGAATTTTTAAAAACAATGTTCAAGAATAATAAATTTTCCAAAGGTATATTCTTATTATACAGGGTGAGTTTCCTACGATGTTCTCTATGGGTATCTCGGAAATTACTGGAGATAGAGAGTCGGTTAAATGGGGAAAGAATTGCAGTTTTGTGGGGTCAAAAATATTCGCCTTTCAGATTTCGGAAAAAGTTCATGGCTTACTAGATATTTCGAAAAAAACAAATTTCGGCTATTTTAAAAATTGTCTCTAATTCCATTATAAGCTATTTTAGACAAAAAGTTTTCAGATAAAAGTTGTAGATAATCGCATCCTTAATGATCCTCCGTTTTTTTCTAAAGCCTGTCATTTTTGATATATGACACAAACATATGTTTTTTTTAAATGGAAACCATAGTTGGCCATGACTTCATAAAAAGCGCCATTTTTTAAGCTTTTTAGCGATATAAGCTATAATATGTTTTCTTCGAAAAATTACTGAGTTATAGCCAATTCTTATCATTTTTAAACAATTTCACTTAGTTAGCCATGGAAACAAGTTTAATCGTCTTTGCTCTCATAAATGTGAAGCTGTTACATCCAATCTTTGTAAATTAAAATAAACAAAAATTGTAAATATGAATTTTTCAAATGAAGAAAAGCGTGTAGGTTTATTGGTTCAACCTTTCTTGGCCATACATTTTCGAGGATACGTTGACTGGTGAATGTTACGTTTTTTAGAGAACGGTTTTCAAGACATGTTAGAAAAGTTAAATTTAGTTATAGCCAATTCTTATCTTTCTTGACTAATTTCACTTAGATTGCATGGTATTCTTATTCTGTTATGATTTATAACTTATAAAAAGTCAGAATATATTACTAAACGGTTCTTTACAATTTACATTACGCAAACTAAAACTTTCTAAAATGGATAGGTCAGGTGATCGAGGAGGCCCATGCAATTAGTCCACCTCTTCCTATCCCTGCGTTTGTATAATTATGATATAAATAATTTTTAAAATTTCTTTCATTATGAAGAGTGGGGGTGGTGTGTCATGCTGAAAGTCATGTTGCAACCACTCTATTGATGCGCGAGTATCTACACGCTTTTCTACATTTGAAAAATTCATACTTACAATTTTTGTTTATTAGAATTTACAAAGTTTGGATGTGACAGCTTAACATTTCTGAGAGCAACGGCGATTGAACTTGTTTCCATGGCTAAGTGAAATTGTTTAAAAATTATAAGAATTGACTATAACTCAGTAATTTTTCGAAGAACAGATATTATAGCTTATATCACTAAAAAGCTTAAAAAATGGCGCTTTTTATGAAGTCATGGCCAACTATGGTTTCCATTTAAAAAAACATATGTTTGTGTCATATATGAAAAATGACAGGCTTCAGAAAAAAACGGAGGACACGGTCTCATTAAGGATGTGATTATCTACAACTTTTATCTGAACACTTTTTGTCTAAAATAGCTTATAATGGAATTAGAGACAATTTTTAAAATAGCCGAAATTTGTTTTTTTGAAATATCTAGTAAGCCATGAACTTTTTCAAAAATCAACATAATCATGAAAGGCGAATATTTATGACCCCACAAAACTGCAATTCTTTCCCCATTTAACCGACTCTCTATCTCCAATAGTTTCCGAGATACCCATAGAGAACATCGTAGGGAACTCACCCTGTATATAGATGAATATTCATTCGTTTAAAAGTATGCATTAAAGCCTAGTTTTCATCATTAAAAATGGCGTCAGAAAAATCAGATGTTCGTTCACTAACTTTTTCGCAAAAAACATCCGAAATTCGTATGCATGAGAACTAAGCTTTTCTTTAATTCAATTTAAACACATTTAATTGTTTTTTATGATTACTTCTTTCAATTTTATTAAAAAATTAGAATGGAAATGGTATTTTCATAGAATAACGAAAAAATTGCAATGTTTTTATACATTTTTTTTAATATTTCAAAAAATAAAAGAATATTATCTAAAACTAATTATATACCTATATTATATTTCATATTATATGTGATACAGTTACTGTTTGAAACATTGACTGTGACTTTAATTTGTTTTTGAAGCAGAAAAACGCTGACAGGAAATATTAACGTAAAATTTTATTATTGGATTCTATTGGTGCGATCTTTATATATGACATTGATTTGAATAATGAGGTTTAAAAAAAGGAATTAGAAACATGAAAGTCATACAAATTGACTTTCATTTTAAATAAATCCTGTTTATAAACCTCATTAATTGACTTACAATAATTGACTTCCTAATCCTCCATTTAATAGAGATAGAAAATAAAGTTTGATCTGAATAATATAATTATCTTATGGTTCTTTTCCTTTCCCAAAAAGGTATACTCTATTGTATATATTCCATGACCAACCAACACACTCTCAACCCTTTCCAAGTCCATCACAACCCTACCACTTGTATCACAGGTACTAATATGGATTCCCTAGCTTAACTCTATACGCGCTAATTGATTAAAAAGTCTTTTGTTCAACCTAAGTACCGCTAAGTCATTGCTGCTTGAACCTCTGATGTAGTTCCGTCGCGCTCTGGATCCCGTTCACGTAGTACTCGCTGGCGTCCTTGATCACGCCATTCGGTTTGACCGCTCCATTCGATTGGCCGTTCTGTTTGGCCGTTCCGTTCGATTGGCCGTTCTGGAAGGCGGTGCCGTTCTGGAGTTTTCCGTTGGAAACACCGTTGGCTTTGCCGTTCTGGGTTGCTGCTTTGCGTCTCCTGTAGGTTCTCAGGTAGAAATCTTTGAAGAGGAAGAAGAAGAGAACGGCGTGGGACCCGATCCAGAGGGCGAACACTTTGGGGTAGTTGCAGTCGGTGAAGAAGAGTTGGAATGCGTGAACCATAATGGCGACGAATTGAACCTGGAGGGAATAATATGGTTTAATTATTTTCAGACCAAATTAAATGTCTTTTTTAAGTATCCAGGGTTTCATAAAAATAAAGCTCTATAAGGCTTTTTCAAAAAACATGTGCCATCTGTGGTGGGGAGATTCCTCACGTAAAAATAATATTAAAAATAAGATTTATTTTTCATATCAACATAGGTCCGGTTCTGCTTTGGTTATGTTAGGTTAGTTTCGGTTCGATTTATTATAATTTTTTTCTAAATGCTTTTTCCAACAACACTCTCGTTTGTTTTAATGTGTAAAATGTAAACGTGTGTGTGGATTGACTTTAAATGTATTTGTCTCATGATGCTCGTATGAGCTACAGTGACACGTAAAACACGTGTCACTGTTTAACTTAATATAAACGTTGAGACCGAGACTTTGAGTCTTTTTTTATCTTCTCTTTAATTTAAACTAGGTCTCTTTGAGAAGAATGGACGCCTTCTTTAAATTTGTTTTTAAGACTACAGTTTCGATTTTGAACTAATTTGATGAACTTACCATCTGGAAACCAGTCAGGTACTTTTTCCACCATAAGTATTTTTGTACTTGAGGGCCTAGAGCAGTCAGGAAATAGTAGAAGTACATCACTATGTGAACGAAGGTATTCAACAAACCGAAGAAAGTACTATGTCCACCTGCAAAATGACAAAAAATATAATTAATTACATATCAATCGGAACAAGTATTATATCATTTATTATTGTATTATTATCTGCGCTACTTAGTAATGTTCCTGTTTCACCGGAAATGACTACAACTTATGATTTTTAAATGACACCCTCGGTATTTTTTTACTTTATTTGATAGAAAATGACACTCTGAATAGTATGACATATATGTCAAGTTTTGACATTTTCTCATATGGTTTATTTGAAATTGTAACATGCGATTCATAACGACAATTTGACTCGAAATACCAAGTGTGGGGTACTAAGTCATTCGTAAAAAAATGCTTTTTCCAAATATGCTAATGAGCCACCCTTGTTCCATTTGAAAAAATTAAGATATAATTAAAAATACGATTTTGGCATCTGTTAACTGGCCAGGACAAGACACGAAAAACATTAGACGATCAAAACTATTTTTCCAAGGCTCCTTGATTAGTAATTAGTGTTTTTAACACAGCCATGGCACTCTAGATTGAAATTTAAAATACACTTTTTAAGCGAAAATGACAAAAGTTGACATATGATATGTCATTCTATTCAGAGGGTCATTTTCTCTCGAATAAAGTAAAAATATACCGAGGGTGCCATTTAAAAATCAAAAGTTGTAGGCTACAACCAAAAACAACTGAATACGTCAATCCATCCTAATTTATGTCATATACTAACATACCAAATCTTGTTTTTTTATCTGAAAAAGTAAAAAAGTTATAGAGGTGAGCCACTTTTGAGACACACCCGGTATAATATAGCATGTGATGTACAATTGAAAGATATGTAACTTGCTAGATACTTTATAGTTTGTCCAATAGCCGCAATATGCGCAACCATAATGCTTCTAAAACTAATATTTATTTCATATATTCATGCAACTATAATAATAATAGGCACAGAATTCAAAGCACAGAAAATATTCGCTATAAAGTAATAGATAATAGACTTTAACAATGGGATTAATGTATTACACACGGCATCTTTTGGGAATTTTATATGGATATGAAATATGCCCAAAACAGTAGTTATATTCGGAATATATCAATCATATTTTTGACAAAAAAAATCATGTTTTCTAAAATGCGAATGTAGGTTACTGTTTAAAAAATAGAAAGAGACCTGGTAACTTAAATTCTAGACTATTAATATCCTTCAAAATATCTGGCTGATACCTTAAATGTGTTTACCTAATAATAAGGTTAATGTCGTTTCACTAAAAATTAGATTCTCACATGCCTAGCATTGTTTGAAGTTTATAAAGCCATTTAATGTATAATATAATTATTTATTAAATTTGTATTGCTGTATAAATTTATATTTTTGAGATAAAACTGGGGGTAACAATATCTGACAGCCACCTCAAAAATCGAACCTAATCTAGATACACCCTATATACAGGGTGTCCCAGGCTGAGCGTGCATTAGAAGTATCTAGAGAACTACAGTATATAGATCGGAGATTTTTTGCACATCGTTGTTTCACAACGAGATCTATAGATTAAAAATATTTTTGTTTTGAAGTTGACAGCATTTTTTTATTTTAGAACTCAATCTTAAATAACTTTAAACCTATTTGTTATAGGAACAAAGTTATAGGGACATGTAAAAACAAAAAGTAAGGAATTTAAAAACCTTTTCACTAGTGAAATAAAAAAGTAGGTTTCCATTTTTGTAAAAAAATAAATGATTATACTCTGTTTTTTTTTATCAGGTTAGATTTTGACAGACGATGACAGAAAGAAAGCAGATGACGTCCATACCAATCCATTTATTTAACTAAAAAAAGATTCTAATATTTTTTTAAGTTAACTATGGATGGATTTATACAGGGTGGTCCATTGAAAACGTTCCGCAAGGCATAACGGCCAGGGTATTTATTTTTTCAAAAAATCCAAAAACACGTCAATTTTGTTTATGAGGGGGACAACTTTTGCCTCAAAAATGATTGCAAAATATTCAACCCAATAAGCGGGGGTGTCATCCCCCAACTTTTTTCAAATGGAAAGGGGGATCAAGTGGCGCCGCAATGAAAATACCTTTCTATTCTCTATATTTCCCCTCTTCGTTTTTGAAAATCGGTCGAGTCATTACGAAAATATGAAGGATTGAAATTTGAAAAGTTTATTTAAGCATTTATCAGAGTAAATGATAATTAAGGATAAATTCGACGAATTTGCTGTTTTTTCTTATTATTTCTAGATGTTTACGCATTTTTTCACTTGCCACAACGTTGAACGATCAGGTGCGATAGTTGCTAGATAGCTGTTCTGTGACGTTGAAGTTCTTCTCAATATCGTTAAACTGACCCACAATAGAATTTCCAAAAATACCAGCCCACACGTTCAATTTCTGAGGGTTTTGTGTGTGCACCTCGTGAAAAACCCTGGTGTTGTCCTGAGCCCAGTACCGACAGTTGTGCCGATTAACTACACCGTTCAAAAAGAAAGTACACTCATCCGAAAAACACACATTATAGTCTGTCCAACGAGAAGATCCTTGACAGTGATAGATGTGTCTGTCATTTTAATTTCAAAGTAGTTTATTTTATTTTACAAAGAAATAAGTTGGTACAACTAGAACGCATAGCAGGAAATTAATATATGTATTTAAAATTTGACTGACAAGTAACTTCAAAATATTGTGAAACTGCATATAAAACTGAAAAAAATGTAATCGAGTTATTTTATTTAATAAAAACGGTATGTGCTAATACAAAACAAACAAAAACAAGACACCACATACCAAAAAATATAAAAGAACTATTTCTTACTTTCAAGCTTTATGAAACTTCCCGCAGTTATGATTATATTTATCAATATAACTTATGTACAAATACAAATTTGTAATATTCCGCAGGAATAAATAAACAATTAATTTTTTTAAACCAGTACCTTTTGACATTATTTTTTCTGCAGTACTAAAATTTTACAACTGATATTTTACAGCTACTCCAGTTTTTAGTATGGGTTTAGTATGGTCCTTCTACCATATTCGAGATGCACTTATCTACGACGAGATGGTATACGAACTTTATTGATAGTAACTTTATTGGTGTATCTGTATAAGACTTTCTGCCTGGGCAGCGAGTATTAACCATAATCTGTGCTCTGGGTTCTGCAGTTAATTTTCACTCGATTTTTCCTCCACTTGACTTCAAAAGACACAAAACACACGTAATAACACGAATCAAAATGCATCATCTTCCAAAACGCAGGGTATTTGACAAAGTTGTCACAAAATTATAACCTATAATTTGGCAAGACTTTGACAAATGTCAAAAATCTAAAGGCGAGTTCATACGCATCGGCGTCCGTTTGTCGTTCATCCTTCCGTCAAACCAATAAGATTGAAATACGATCTGTCATTTTTGAAAATTAAACCAATAAAACTGGTCCAAAAAACAACAAGTGACGACGCATGACGAATTTATATTTAAACCCGTCCATAGTTAACTTAAAAATTATTAGAAACATTTTTAGTAAAATAAATAGATTGGTATGGGACGTCATCTGCTTTTCTTCTGTCATCGTCTGTCGAAATCTTACCTGAGAAAAAAAACAGAGTATAAATAGTTCACTCACAGCTTCACAAAATTGCAAACAACGATCAAAATCGTCTTCGTTGAGTACTTGTACCAACTAAATTTTGTACAGGTGAAACTTGTGCTTTTTAATATTCTTTGGAAACTTGTACGATTCCCGCCGGTCTTATTGGCTAATTTTCGTGTACTCAGAATACTGTCCATGGCAACTTGGCCCAATACGAATACCTCCATAGCTTCATTTACTACAGGATTTTCCCTCTGCCTCTTTTATTCATAACGGAACCAGTTTCGCGAAATTTTGCTACTAACTGGCGAGCAATTTTGCCAAAAAGGTGTTTGTCAGGATGACGTTCATTGAATATCTGCGCAACCCGATTGCAAACATCTAGAAATAATAAGAAAAAACAGCAAATTGGTCGAAAGAATTTATCCTTATCATTTACTCTGATAAAAGTTTAAATAAACTTTTCAAATTTCAATCCTTCATATTTTCCCAACGACTCGACCAATCTTCAAAAACGAAGCAGGAAAGTATAGAGAATAGAAAGCCCTTTTCATTGCGGTACCCCATGGCACCCCTTCCCATTTAAAAAAATCGGGGGATAACACCCCCGCTTAGAGGGTTGAAGATTTTGCAATAATTTTTGGGACAAAAGTTGTCCGCCTCACAAACAAAATTGACGTGTTTTTGAATTTTCTGAAAAAAAAAATTACCCTGGCCGTTATGCCTTGCGGAAGGTTTTCGATGGGCCACCCTGTATATAAATCCGTAATGCATCATCTCTTGTTGTTTTTAACCAGTTTTATTGGTTTATTTCAAAAATGACAAATCATATTTCAATATTATTGGTTTGGCGAAACGATGAACGACAAAACGGACGCCTGTGCCGGTGCGTATGAACTCGACTTCAGATTTTGAGAGTTGTCAAACTCTTGCCAAATTATAGGTTATAATTTTGTGTCAAATTATGTCAAATAGAAATGATAAATATTTTGCATTTTGCATTTTGGACTGTGTTATTACGTGTGTTTCGTGTTTTTTAAAATTAAGTGGAGGAAACTCGAGAGAAAATTAAGTGTTGACCCAGGCCATAGTTTACAGTTAATATTCGGTGCGCAGAGACCGCCAGAGACAGTTTGCCAGAGATTATGGCCAGAGAGTTGTATTAGCCACAAATAAAGAAAGTATACCATCTCGTATATAGTACCAAAAACTGGAGTATCTGTAAAATAGCAGCACACGATAGGTAAATAATAAATTATAGTACTGCGGGAGATAATGTCAAAAGATACTGGTTTACAAAAATTAAGATTAAAGTTAGTTAACCAACTTTTAAGGTATAAAATTCAATAAATGTTATTATTAATAAAATATTTTGTTATATTTATGTTGTGTTTTATTCATTCCTTTGCAATATTATTTTTTTTATTTTTTATTTCCGGTATTTCCGTATAAAGTGCCGCCATATTGAAAATATTTATAATCGATAGATCTCATTGTGAAAAAATGACGTACAAAAAATCTCCGATCTAAATATTAAAATTAGCCTAGGACACCCTGTATATAACTGAAATTATTTTCTAATATTATCAATTTGATGTAATTAAAAAAATAGCCTTTTTAATTTTAATCCAATTAAGTAATTTAAATAATTCAGCCAGGGTGAAAAGTACAGCCCAAAATAACAATACTAATAAAAATAAACTGCATTATTACATGTAGTATTTTCAAGGAACTACATCATATAACTTGGTCTGTAATAAATAACAAACTAATTACAGTCAGTATAAAACTGTATCGATATCAATTAAACATTATTAGTATTTGTTAGAATTATTAAACTGAACAAACACTACACGACTTTTTATTTAAAAAACAAACAGGTATTATTAAAGAAAATCAAAGTACAAAATAGTAAAAAGTGCGTGAAGGGCAATTATCTATTGTAGATAATTATAATTATTTTGTTTAATCAATATACACTCTAATTTAAAAGAAAACAATCACCCAAAATTATTTATAGAAAAGAAAAGAAAATTCTAGAAACACAAATTAAGAATGTAACACACGTAATTCTTGAGAAGAATAAATAAAATATATGGGGTGTCCTTCTAATATGCTTTCATCTAGTGATATAAGTATAGTTACCTGGGCAATATTTCACTCCAAACCATACTGACATTGGCATAATTCCATGGTGAATGACGTGTAATGTATTAATGTGGTCGAACTTTTTCCTTAATACGAAAAATATCTGTAACAAAATAAAACAAACAAATGATAAACATATAACATAAAATTTTTGATTTATTTTACTCACCGTATCAAAAAATTCCGTAAACTTCGAAAAAAAGTACCACCACGACGCGTGTACCATCTGAAAATATCAGTTATTTAGCTTAATTTTTGGCTTTAAATTATGTTACTGACCCTTATTGTAGTAGGATTGTTGGAATAATCGACTGGTTGACATCTAATACTATAATCTCCTGTGAACCATCCACCCATACCAATCTAAAACAGATTCATAGTTTTATTTATTTTTTTTTCCATAGCAACTGTTAAAATTGCTTTATATCTATCAAAAATAGTAGATAAAATAGTACTTTATCCGCAAGGGTAGATTAAATGACACTTTAACAGCGAGGATAGGTTAAAAACTTTATTTCTTCTCGCACGTTTTTTAATTGCTTCCATTTTTGATTTTTTATTCCTTTTCATAAGTTATTCGGGATTTAAGTGGAAGTAGTTTGGATATGGCGTTTGTCGCCTCAGCCTGAATATCTGTTGGTAATTTATTTATTTCGTTTTGAGCCTTTTCTGGCTCCAATTCAATCAGCAATCGACACGAAAGAGAATTAAAAAATATTGACTCAAAACTGACAACTAAAGAGACAGCTTTATTTATTTGTCAAATTATATAGAAACCAACGCCAACCCAGCACAATATTTTTTTTACTCGTAAAAAATTCCTGGAAATAATAATTTCTGAATATTTTTTAAAACGTAACTCGCTATGGAAAAAATATTGTTTTCTACATAACGATAAAATTGTATTATCGTCTCTCAAAATTAATTCCCTCGCACTTTCATCGCTCGTGAATTAATCTTTTCGAGCGACTGAGTGAATTAATTTTTTATCAGTCTTGTATAAAAAATAACTATAGTTTTAATAAATTATAAAATTATTTCATTAAACCTAAATAAAACTAATAATAAAACATTTTTAAAAATATTGTTTTATACTGGATATATACGCCTTTTTTGAAAAAAATTGTAAATTTTTTATTTTTCCGGTAATTTTTTTAGATATTTTTTTAATGGTAAGTTAAAAAGAATATCTTGGTAATATGACAACATATGTAGATTAAATTTAGAGGAAGAAAACAGAAAAAAATCCAGTGGTTCTCAAAATTTCAGCAAAAAATATTTTTTTTTAACAACTCGGCTATTTGGGACTTATTTTGAAAAAACGGTAAAGAGAAAATATGCTCTGAAAATATTTGCACTTATTTAAGACTCACCCTGTATATTTTTTTCAGTTATAAGATCCTAATAATATTATTTATTAATAAGTAAAAAAAATATTAACTTACTTCATAAAATAGCCACGTACTAAATAAAACTTGAAATAAATTGTAATAAACTAAGGCATTTTTAAGTTGAAATGGTTTCCGATTTTCCATCAGCTTCGGCCCTAGGAGCTGTAAAGAAAATAAAAGTAAAATCAGTAAATTTTCAAAATAATATAAATTTCTTATCAAGTGTACTACATGTGTGTTCTTTTTTTTATTTTAACCAATTTATTTCTCTAGTAGATACACAGGGTGTCGAAAAATAGTGTAACTATCTATCTTGGGGAAGCATTTTAGGGCATATGTTTCTAGAAACTTTTTGTTTTATTTTTATCTGTAAAATTAGAATTACCCACCAAAATTAGATACACTATTTCTTTCACACCCTGTATATTGTAATTAATAAAAAATAAGAAAATAAATATACTCTACCTTTACTATATATACATATGAAAGACATATTCCTAATGTATAAAGTGGATTCGATACTAAAAACCAATTGGCAGTCCTTGCATCTGAAAGCAACAAATTTCACAATTATATTTTTATAGTATATTTTCATTTTTCATAGTAAATTAAAACTACTAATTATACGAAAACAATACAATTAAACAAATGTTATGCTGATTATATTACATTTTTTGCGTTTTATAAATTCTACTTTAAATTAAGCTGTTTTTTTTAATTCAATGATTACTTTGCAAATCATTAAACAAATTGGTTATTAAATTAATGATTAAAATAGTACTAATTCAGTAAATTATTAAGTTGTTTATAATAAATGGAAATTATAAATTTTTAAAAAGGAATTTTAAACAATTTTCTTTACACTTTTCGATATTTTTCCACCAATTTTTTTTTAATTTGCAACCGTGACATGCAAACCATTTTTCTTTAATTAACTGCCATGACAGTTGTCATATCATATGTCAGAATATTTTTATTATTATTCTATTGTGCACTCTCAATTGATACAAACGTTGAAAAAAAAGATGTAAGAAGGATTCTAATACTATTCGTGTATTCATGCATTTACGGAGGAACAGACATAATAAACCTTTTTTATTATGTTTTTATTTTGACTAAAAACTAAAAAAGTTTCAAGAATATATACTACCCCTAAAAATATTTGCACTTATTTACTGACTCACCCTGTATATCTTTTCTTGAATTTTCGCTTTTATTTACAACTTGTCAGAAATAACTAGGATACGCCAATTTTACTGTGGTGTTTCAGTAGCGTATCTGATATTTTTGTTATTAAATAATTATAATAACTTATCAATTTTATTTTGATTATAAATGTATTGTTTTAACAATTTTATTTACTAGTAATATTGATTGATAACGTAAAACAAAACCTTCAAATTAATAAGTTTATCGTACATTAAATAAAACTAGAACGGCATTTTTATTTAAAATATTCAATTTATTTTTTTTTTCGATAACTTAATTAAAAATCCATTTTTTGTAAACTTTTCAGCGGGCACCGTATTCCATACTATCGAGAAAAAAAACAGCGTCACACTGGCCTTTGAAAAGATGATCAATGATCAATGATGAATTTTTATCATAGCGTTCCAGGGGAGACGTCTTTTTTCAAAATTGATATAAAAATATTTTACCAATTAATATATAAATAAAAAAAGCAATAGATTTTCAGACACAACTACCATTCACTCGTAAACATTAAATACAATAAATTCATTAAAAACTTTTTTTTAAATAAATTTGTCTCTTTAAATTAAAAAAAAACTTTTTTCTAAATTAAATATTATACAGGGTTGTTCACCATATACGACACGGAATATTGTAGCTAAACGATTAGATTTTTACAAATTGTAAGTTTTGAGTTCGTTGAAGGACTATTAGAGCTACAATTTAAAAATATTTTTACAAGATACAGAGTGTCCCAAATAAATAAAAAATATCAAAGTTGTATTTTTTTAAATAGAACACCCTGTATATTATTGCATTTTTAGTTTCTACGATTAAAATAAAGGTAAATTTGATTAAGGTTTATTTTACTTAAACCTTACCGTTTTTGAAATATTTTCAATTTTGTGAAATTGCAGTATAAATTTTAAGACTTCATTTTTCCGAGAGTATAATAGTTTTTAATACTAAATATTTACTGAAGTTTATTTATCGATCAGTTATTGTGTTGCAGTATTAAAAATTTTACTACCTTATACAGAGTGTCTAAATATTTATTTTAAATAATTATTAGCTTTAAACGGCAATAACTTGTTTAATTTAAATAGAACACCCTGTATATTTTATGAGAATCAGATGCACAATTTAATTGTCTATCAAATTGTATTAACCATTTTTACCTATCTCTTCAAGTTTCCGTAGAAAATGCATTTTCTTGTAATTTAGAACTCATTTATCAATATACCCATAGAATACTGACATTTTAGATTATTTTTAAAGCTGTACCAAATTTTTAAAGAGTACAGATACTAATATTGTCGATATAGTTCGTTTATTTCATTAAAGAATAAAAAAACTGTTCAAATATTTGTTAAAGAGGACCAATTAATATGATTCCAGTATTCAAACTACATTAATTGACTGTTTGCGTTGATTAATAATAATTGCTCCAAATACTAAAAAACTGAATTATGTATGTGTATTAGACAGTGGGGAAAAAAAACTAACACCTTAAAAATGATATTTAATTTTTTGACACATGCTTATTTATAACAGAGACGTTCATTTTCATAACTTATTATTATATTGATTTCTGATTCAAATCCACATTTATTTAGAATCATTTATTAATTAAAACAATTAAGTATGTAATTAATTAGTATTTGGGCGGAAATACTGGTGGTATATTTAATTAATGGTATACTCTTTTATAAAGATTTAAATAGTTTTCTTTTTGCATCCAATGGTAGTTATATTATCGTTTTACTAAAAACGATAATATTACTAGCCTGTACATTTTGTACATTTAATCTTTTAAAACAATCTAAAATGTCAATATTCCATGGGTATATTGATAAATGAGTTCTAAATTATAAGAAAATGCATTTTCTACGAAAACTTGAAGCGATAGGTAAAAATTGGTATAATACAATTTCATAGACAATTAAATTGTGCATCTGATTCTCAGAAAATATACAGGGTGCTCCATTTAAATTAAACAAGTTATTGCCGTTCAAAGCTAGTAATTATTTAAAATAAATTTTTAGACACTCTGTATAAGGTAGTATAATTTTTATTATTGCAACACAATAACTGATCAATAAATAAACTTCAGTAAATATTTAGTATTAAAAACTTTGATATCCTCGGAGAAATGAAGCCTTAAAATGTATACTGCAATTTCACAAAATTGAAAATATTTCAAAAACGGTAAGGTTTAAGTAAAATAAACCTTAATCAAATTTACCTTTATTTTAATCGTAGAACTTAAAAATGCAATAATATACAGGGTGTTCCATTTAAAAAAATACAACTTTGATATTTTTTATTTATTTGGGACACTCTGTATCTTGTAAAAATATTTTTAGATTGTAGCTCTAATAGTCCTTCAAAGAACCCAAAACTTACAATTTGTAAAAATCTAATCGTTTAGCTACAATACTCCGTATCGTATATGGTGAACAACCCTGTAAATATTAATTTTAATCCATTCTAATGTATTTTTTTAACAAATAACATAAAAATATGAAAAAAATTCAATTGACTTTTATTTGAAAGGCCACTATGAAGCCGTTTCTTTTTTTTTTTTTTGATTATGCGATGTTAGAAAAACAAAACTTTTCTTGAAAAATAAAAATGTTTCAAAAAAACTTTAGTGCCACGGTAAATTTATTATTTAATAGCATGATCTCATACCTGGTTTAAGATTGAAATATCCATATTCGTTGGTGTAACTAGCTGTATTATTTGTACTAGTCATTGTAAAAACCTGCAACAGAAAAAATACAATGTTTTACTTGTTAATAATAATTAATATTTGGTAAATCTAATAGGATATGCACAAACGATGTGACTTTCGAGAAAGTAATATTGGAAAATACATTAATGGAAATAATGTACCTATTCATATCAGGTGTTGTAATATCATGTATCATAATTTGGCAAATATTCTTCAAGGAAATTATCATATACTATATGATAATTTCCCATATTTATATTATATGGAATATTTTAAGCAGATAGTGTTGTGATATTTTAAACGTTTTGTTTGTGTAAAATCCATTATTTGTTTTAAACTTCTTTAGTTGAGTAGGTGTTTTTTTTTTCAAAAAAGTAAAAAGCCTCCATAACAACAACAAGTCAAGAGTGTCATATCATGGATCACTGAGCGATCCTTTCCTAACAAATACAAGAGTTAGGCAAAGATGTGTCTTAGCGCCTCTTCTATTCAACATATTCATGGCAGCGCTCTCCATTATAGTGGACAGCAAATTGCAGGAGAGAGGTTTAGGCATTAGATACAGATACGACAGCGGTCTGGTCAACATAAAAAGACTCAGTGCAAAAACACGTACAAAACTCATCACAGATCTTCAATACGCTGATGATTGCGCTCTAGTTGCAAAAACGTTACAGCAATTACAAGAAATGTTGAACATTTATACCTGGGCATACGAGGCTTTTAAGCTAAACATCGACAAAACTAAAATCTTGTGCACTCCCCCAGAAGATCACAATAATGATATTGAAATCGGAGAAGAACTATTGGAATATGTCGCGGAATTCAATTACGTCGGCAGTTTGATTTCGGAAAAGACCAATATCGACTCTGAAATTGAGCACAGGATTAGCAGCACCTCAAGAGCATTCTGGAAATTAAAAGAGTGTACCGAGCAATATTAATCCCCACCATGTTGTATGGGAGAGAAACCTGGGTGCCGTATAGGGTTCCCAACCGTCCCAGTTTGGCCGGGATTAACCAGGAATCAGAAAGTTTGTCCCGGCGAAAGTTTTGCCTTGGCCGGGACCTCGAAACTAAAAAAATGTGTAGTACACACATAATATATTTTATTTTCTAATATTTAATGTCTTGCTTCAATTATTTAAAAGCTTAAAAATAATTGTCCCGGAATCGCCGATGCTCAAGTTGGGAACCCTAGTGCCGTACCGCCAACACCTGAACGCATTAAACAAGTTGCAACAGAGACACCTTAGACAACTCAAGAATCAAATGGTTCCATCATGTCTCAAACGTATCGCTCCTTGAAAAAGCTAACTGCGAGAGTATTGGAGTCATGGTTACAAAATCTCGCTTAAGATGGGCTGGACACGTATGCAGAATGCAGGAAAATCGCCTACCAAAATCTCTGCTTTACGGTGAGCTTGTAGACGGTAAGAGGAGGCCGGGTGGACAACTCAAAAGGTACAAGGACATTTTCCACGAAAACTTAAAGGGGATTAACATGCAGAAACATTGGGAAGAAGCAGTTCACAATAGAACTCATTGGAGAAGAATTATTGCAAACTCAGTTAACAGCGACAACCAAAAAGTAAAGAGGCAACAAAGCGATGAGGTTTTTGTACGTATCGGGCTTTTCAGTCACAGAAAAGCTCATGAAAGACAACGCCTTGCGTGACCATCATCTGATGCGTGTCAAATACTCGTCAGTGAGTAATGGCAGTATGTATGTATGTATGTTTTTTTTTCAACAAAATGCAAGAAAAGCTCTTTCTTTCATCTGTTTAATAAAAAAAATCAAATCTAATACAAACGGCATAAAAATTAAAATAATATATTATCTTTAAAAAACGTTCAATTCGTTATAAAAGGAAAAAAGTAACTAGCTCTCATAACAGAACTAATAAAAGCAGATAACTTAATTAGTTAAACCCATCATTCTGTGTTACCACTCGGGGTAGCACTATTAAGTTCTCTAAAAATCCAAATAAGTTTAAATTAATAACTGATTTAACTAACTATTCTTATATAATAATAGCTCCCGTATATAGCGTTTAACGCCTTGGGAGTAGCAAGCAGGGGTGGATGTTGCCATATGGAAAAACGGGAAAATTCCCGGTGGACCGGTGGGCCGGTCCGGATCAGAGCTCTTGGATTAACGAAAATTAAATAGTTTTAAATAGCTAAGCTTCTAACTAAAGTTACGTAAAATTCTTAGTGACTGCATAACTAACTAATCAATTTGCATCAGTATAATCGTCAACTGCTATTAAACAAAAACACTAATTTGTAAAATAACTATTGTGAGATGTCTTTTTCTCTGAGACACATATAATTATTTTAATAAACATCTGTTGTTTGATGTCCGGTTTGAAAATTTTGTTTTAGCCACTATTATTTTATTAATAACTAATAAACATGACTCTGGAAAGTGTACAGCAGAAAAAAGAATAAATATCAGTAGGTAAATATAAATCGTCTCGGGCTAAGTGCATATTTTTTCGGCCTCGGTGCAATAATTTTCGGGCTCCCCTGAGTAAAAAGGTACATGAATTTGATGCAAACTCTGCGATTGAATAGAAGAAAATAATAATATAAATTGGCTATCTGTATGGTTCGTTTGAATTGGGGACGACCAACCAACACCTAGCCATTCAAGACACTTTCTTTACGCCAACGATCTTGCAATAGCTGTTCAAGCCAACAACTTCGAGAATATCGAACTGAGCCTAGAAACCAACCATTGAAAAAATATGTCTGAATATTACACAATCAGCTCTCTGAGGCCCAATCCCTCTAAGCCAAGCAAGCTTCCGGCCAAGTCCTCCGAGACGACTGAAGTCCCATCGAGTCTTTCGAAACAGCGTAAATGTAGAACCACCAGCAGTGGGATTCTGTAAGCCCCGTAGCAAGAAATTTCCTGTCTAGCCTATGCTATTTGTATACGATTGATGAGTCACTAGACAGAAAATATGTTTACAGAATCGCTAGCCAGATGAGTTCCCCTACATCAAGATCCACCAAGGGGAATCCACTTGGATTGGAAAACCTGGAGAACACTTAGTAAAATTAGGACTGGCGTTGCTCCAGTAAAATCCAACCTACAACCTAGTGAAGTTGGGTGTAAATCATAATGGGGACACCCAGTGTAAATGCGGCCAAGAACACACCATGGAGCATGTTCAAGATCTATTCAAGATCAAATTATCCTTAAGTATAATGGAAATAAAAAAATAGAACCTTGTGAAACTGAGTTATCTTGTAGAAAAAATTCGGATGTCTGGCCATCTAAGGTCTGACCCAATATCGATTTTTTTGAAAATTTGATAAAGAGAATTTCAATTTTTTTAAAAACCCGCAGGCAAATCAGCTTATTTTTTTTTGAAAATATTCATCCTTACATACAGTACCGGCCAAAAGTGGAGAAACTTTTAATATTTTTACAATGCCAAAATACAGTTTACTCTCTGCAGAATACGATATCAAGAAAATATTTCGCATTTAATTTGCTTTGTATAGCCATATAAAAACTGCTTATTTTGTGAATAAATTTGCAGGCAAAAAATTATTTACAAATTCCAGCGGACATAAGTGGAGAAACCTTATCTTCTTCTTAACATTCTGTGAGATATTCTCTTGTTAAAGCGTCTAGATCGTGGTATTGGGTTCACAGAGCGGTAAAAATATGCCGCGCGTGATAAATTTGTCAGATCAAATTAAAAAAAATCATAATTGATAAGTATCATTCGAGAATTAAACAAATTGATATTGCTAGACACTTAAATTTACATAATGCAACACTTAAATTTACATGTGTGCAAACAGATTAATTTGTATGGAGATCGTGGGACAACTGCCAGTATACCCAAGCCCGGAAGACCCAAAAAAAAACAACTTTGGCGACAGATAAAATAATAAGAAGATATTCACTTAGAAATCCATTTTGCACTGCGGAGGATATAAGGAACGAATATCCCTTTATTTCAATATCTGTTAGGTCCAATAGACGGCGTCTGAAACAGGCACAACTAAATGCCAGAACACCTGCCCGAAAGCCGTTTATTTCTAAGAAAAATAGGTAGGCCCGACTACAATTTGCATTGGAACATGCAAATTGGACCTACAAGCAGTGGAAAAATGTACTCTGGTCGGACGAAAGCAAGTACAATCTTTTTGGTTCGGATGGTATTAGGTGGGTGAGACGTCCTGCCAATGAGAGATTCAATCCCAAGTACACCATATCCACCATAAAACACGGAGGTGGGAACGTTCTAGTCTAGGGTTGTTTTTCTGGGCATGGGGTCGGGCCACTTGTTCAAATAAATGGAATTATGGATCAAATAAATGGAAATATGGTGTATTTAAATATTTTGCAAGAAACAATGGTACCTTATGCTCCTAATTTAATCCTCTCTCTCATTAACCTGGAAATTTATGCACCATAATGATCCGAAACACACTGCCAAACTTATTAAGGAATTTTTAACCGAGGAACAAGTTGAAGTGATCAAATGGCCAGCTCAGAGCCCCGACCTGAACCCTATAGAGAACCTATAGGATCAACTAGAAGTCGATGTTAGGCGTAAAAACAGGGACAAATTTAAAAATAAAGATGTTTTGTTCGCTGCCCTATTACAAGCCTGGAATAAAATATCCGGGGACGTAATAAAGAACTTGATTGAGTCTATGCCCGAAAGGTGCCAAGCAGTCATCAAAAGTAAAGGCTATGCAACCAAATACTGAGACTAGCGACTACAAATGTATAAAAAATTCCAGTTTCTCCATTTTTGTCCTAATAGAAATTAGTTTAATTTTTTCAAAATTTAATAGAGGCTTTTTCCAAAAAAATCTTGTGTGTATTTTTATGAGACAGTTATCCTATGTATAAATATATATGCTTTATAAACATTTTCGTTCTTGTAAAACGGCAACAAATAAATTTAAAAAGTTTCTCCATTTTTGGCCGGTACTGTATACAGGGTGACTCTTAAATAAGTGCAGATATCTTCAGGGATGGTAGGTCTCGAAAA